AAAAAAAAAAAAAGGAAAAGAAGAAGGGAAATTCGACAGGTACAGCAGCAGTAGTAGCAGCAAGAGGAACAAGTGACGGTGAACGCGTTTAAAAAGAGCTAGAGTGTGTTTGCATTTGTGATTATTTGTGTTTGTGTGTCTTTGTGTTTATATAAATATTTTTATTTTTGCAAGTCGTTGCTGATGGATCGTATGGCAGATGCTCTAAATTTAGCCTCTGGAAACTTGCATAATTTACCCACACAATGTGAACAAGAAGTTCGTATTGCCGATGGAACTACGGAAGCAGCAGTGAATTGTTCTCATGATAACAAAAGCGGTGGACATCGCTCACTTCTCGTCCCATTACGAAGATCCTCCACCACCTCATTTGCTGCTTCTATTAATCACAAAAACAAAAACAACAACAACAACAGTAATGGGAGAAATAACAACCATAATGCCGGAAGCAGTAATATTGTTACTACCGCAAATGAGAATGCGTGTTTGGCGGCAGTGTCACTGAGTAGCACATCGCATGAGTGGACATCATCGTGCGCTACTTTGCAGAAGAATCAGAGATGGACGTACACGGCGGCGTGTGCCTGCAATCACACAGACGGCAGTGATCATCCATCACATGGTGTGGAATCCGCCACCTTAGCAGCACCCACATGCTCTGAGTGGGATAGTGATAGTGCTAACCACGTGAATAGCACTAATGCTGTTGCTTTTGTTGGTAATAGTGAAGAAGGAGGAATTGGTTCAGAAAATGTATTGCGAAGAAATGATGCACACTGTACAACGCACCTTCATGACTCAAAGAGTATAGGAATTGGTAAAAATTTTCGTCAAGACCATATTGCCCTTGATGGGAGTAACAATAGCATCAACGACAATGATAAGAAGAATAGTGTTTATTGTGAAGATATTAATGGTTCATCTTTAAATAAACCATTTAATGGTAATGTGCCGCAACAACGTGGAGGATGTCCACCTCAACATCATAATCAGCAGCAACAACAACAACAACAACATCATCATCATCATTTCCATAATCATAACCACAATTACAATCATCATGTTGTTGGTACTTCTCGCCGTTCTCATCGACGACGTGGATTTGGTGCCGCTGCAGTTGAGGCCATTTGTAACCGTTCTTCAATTGTATATATTTCACCTCAACACAGCACGTTATCTCCTTCACTTAAAAGCATTAGACCAAAAAGGCACTCTTTCACCTCTGGTGATCACGAGCATCATGTGGGTTTTCAGGTTCCACTTCCTCGCTCTAAAGCAGGTCGTTGGAATTCTCAAGATACAATAACACCATGTGAAACTACAGAGGTGATGACAAATCATACTACAGAAGAATGCGATTTAGGAAATATTGCAACTTCAGCAGTAGGAACAACAGGAGAAGTGGATAGTAATTCTGGTACATACCGCTTCTCTAGTATAGCTCCTTTTTATGACTGTGCGATTCAGCAACTTATTATTGAATGTGAAATGAGAGTGGCTAATTTAAGTGAAGATGCACGTGAAAATGCGATGTATCAGCAGAATTTTCAAGAACTTCAGCGTCAACCACAACTTCCTCCTTCAATAAGTACACGTTCCTTTGATATGCAACATCCACCATTGCCCAATTCTCGAATGTTTGCGAGTTCTCCAACCATATCAACTCCGATGCACACTTTTCTTCTCCCACAGACACGTTCTTGTAGGGGTGATATATCCCCGCATCATCAACAACAACAACAAAACCAACAACAACAAAATAATAATAATAATAATGGTGGAACAGATAGGTGGATGAATGCACCTTCGATGGTTGGAAATTCTCGCTCTTCAGAGCCCCGCCCTGATGTATATGGTAGTTTGTTTTCTCTTTTTTCTGATGAACCGGTTGAATTTGGATCGACTGGTGCCCCTGGCACGACGTCTGCGATGGTGCATCAACTTTTAACTTCTATTGGGGTTCATGTTGCTTATGGAGATGCCGCTCCAATGGTGTTGATTGGAGCGCTTGTGTACATGTCGCGCCTAACGCTGCAGTGTACCTCTGTTTTCGCTGGCGTAACGGCGACGAATTGGTACCGACTCATCACTACAGCCATTTTAATAGCCTCCAAGATGTATGTGGATGGCAGTCGTCGGTGGAACGCCCGTATAGCGCAAGCCGCTGGGATTCCACTAGCGGAGATGAATCGTCTTGAATTGGATTTTCTCTTTCTCGCTGACTTTGATCTTCTGGTGCGGGAGGAGGAGGTGGCGGCCTGGGCGGACTGGATGGAGGCCGTCGCCCGGCGGCGGAGACTCAACACGCCCCTCCGCACATTCATCTTTGGGGATTCCTACGGGCATGGATACCGAACCCCGCCGTCCACCGCCACAACTCCCCTCTCCTCCTGCGCAGGGGAGGAAGTGATGTTGGCCCAACGCCCATTCACACACGCACATGGTAACAATCATGCAAACGGGAATGTAAACATCAATACACTCTCTCCCGCTAATGCACCATCTACACCTATAGCGTTTACGCCACTCGCCGCCAGGACTCCACTGTTGCGTACCACACACGTTTCCCCAGCGAATGGAAGGACAGTACGCAGTTCTCAACGACTGTCCGCCTCATTCGCACTTGATAACACCGAGCGACAACAATTATATTATTCACAACAACAACAACAACGTAATGTGTTCATTTCATTTTCGCAACCCCCACCATCACCACTGCAGTTCTGCGATACCCCTAATATGTTTCCACCATCGCCGCTATGTGCCCCCTTGTTTCCACGAAGAGGAGAACGATTATTTTCTGTTGTGCATGCTCCACAGGAGCCTCTGACACCACCCAATCTCCAACAGATGTCAGAGATGGTGGACACACCGCTAACACCACCAGAACAGCTGGATATGTCACCTGTGGAATTCTTTAAAAAATCAACACGTACAGAACGGAATAGCATTAGTAATGGAGTAGTAAATAAGTCCACCCTTGCAAGTGACACCGGTCATAGCGTCGTTACTAATGATGTGGTGAACAATGGTAATAACTTCGACGACGACATTTTTGACGATCTTGAAGAAAGGGTAAAACCACCGCATCGTGTCCTAAACATCTTATCACCACCTACTACTAACCCCGGACCACTACTACCTCCTGGCTTGGAGAAATACCACCAAATGAGCGACAATAATAATAATAATAATAATAATAATAATAATAATAATGGTAACAAGAGCGAGGAGGAACCAACTGCTGCGAAGGCAGTGCAACCACAGGATTGTAGTTGTCATTCTAGGCGTAATGAAGATGCTGTTAGCAGTGCTATTAAAAATGAATTAAATTCGATTCATACAAATATTGGGGTACAACAAAAAAAAGGTGTATCTAGTACTGTTAGTAATACTTCAGATTCCTCCGTAATGAAAACAAAAGGAGCAGTAACACATCCTGGATGCGGCAATGGCGGTGGGTGGAAGCAAGTGGCAACACAGGTGCGAGAGATGTTTGGAGCAACACGCTCCTTTGTTTGTAGTTCACCTCTTAACTTGCTGAGAATGGATGACAGTGACAATGATGTTAAAAGAAAAAATGGAAAGGGACACAAGGAAGTTTTGGGAAATGATTGCAGCAATTTGCACGTTACCCATAACGATGATGATGATGATGATAATATGGATGATGGCGAGTATGGTGATGAAAATAATGGGTTTAAGGACGACTTTGAGGATGACTTTGAGGATGACATCGTTATGCGCCGTCATCTTCTGCCGACACACTCACCACCAGCGTAAAGCCTTTTTTATTTATTTATTTATTTATTTATTTCCTTCTTGTGTGCGTATGTTTTCTTTTTCAAGCGAGCATGTCCGAAGGAAATAATGGAAAGAAGAAAAAAAAAAAAAGAAAGGCATAAATGGGGTGTATATTTAAAAAAAAAAAAAGGAAAAAAAAAAGAAAGTACATGAATCTGCAGAGATGATGAGAGTGCAATGAAACGAAAAAAGGGGAAAAAAAAAGAAGTCGTTGTAAGTGAAGAGCGTGGAAAATAGAGCAAGTAAAATGGTAAAATAGGCTCTATACATGGAGGATCTGTTTTTTTTTTTTTTCTCTAATGTTTTTTTTTTTCCTTCTTCTTTTTGCCATGATTTTTTTTCTTGCTTTTTTTTTTTCCTTTCTTTCTTTTTTTTCTCTCTTTTTTTGTGTGTGTGTTTGTTTGTTTGTGTGTATATTTCTATTTCTTTTCCCCTTCCATCCTTCCCTTCCCCTCTCATTTTTCTTTCTTTCTCTCTCCTTTTACCCTTTTTACCCTCTTACCCTCTATTCCTTCCGTCTGTGTCTATGTGTGACTGCACATGCACTGATCTAGTTTGGAAAGAGAAAAAAAAAGTGATAGAGGTATTATGTTATTAAAGTGTTTTCTTTTATTATTATTATTATTATT